GATCAAAATACATAGTGAATTTTTAAATGTATTACAGTTAAGATAGTTTCATTAATCCTCCTCAAAATACTCCCCTCCCTCATATGTTTATCCCATTGTTTTTGCCACCTTCTGTAGCAATTCAGGGAAGTCCACTTTAGTGAATGTCTTAAGGAATGTGATCAAGAATATGATGAGAGACCACAAACAGAATCATCAGACAGCACCTCCTGAGAGAGAATCGGCCATGCTGGGACTGCGAGGGGCAGACCAACAAGCCAACTAGCCAGCCTTTCTGTTAAGCCACACAGGCCACACAGGACCAGGAAGACAAAAGTCAGTGTCTCCCCTGAGCCTACTGGTGCCCAGGCTGAGAATCACAAGACCTGCTTCTCATTTCCCCTCTTCCTGGCCCCCATAAGCAACCAGCTGGTTTGGAGGACAGGCTGAGTTGACAGCAACTGAGGTACAAGAAGCAACTAAATGTTTATACTGTTTGTTTGAATTTGCAGGCCTGGGGCTGGTGGTCTGAGCGTCAATAGGGAGGATAACATTATGCAAAATAGCAAGTATGGGGCATTTCATTCTAAATTGTTTTTGAAATCCAATATTGTTTTCACTGTTTTGTTTTACTCCATTAATTGTTTTTGCTTTATTCAATATTCTTTTATGATTGGTTTTATTCTGTTTTGTTTTGTTTTGATTTTGCTATAGCTGATGGAATGGACAACAATTGTGAAGATAACAAGATATACTATAGCAACCACTGTTGTTTTCCTATTGTCCTACTCTGAAGTTCTGTACCAATTTCTCTGCTTTGTTTTGATTCAATTTATTCTGTTTTGTTTTGTTTTGTTGGATTTTATTATCTTTAAAATAAAATGTATGATGAATACTGAGGTCAAGTGCCATCCGACAGAAGGGCATGCTCCTACTAGTGTGTCCTCTTCCAACTTATTCACTGGATCTGCCATTGTGGGACTTCTGGCTCTTCCTCCAAAGTCAAAATGACCATGAAAGATAAATGATTCAAATCAATTCAGGATGTAGAAGCACCCCACAACAACACAACTAAAGATACTCACAAAAAAGAACTTCCAGGACTGCTTCAGAAAATGATAAGAATAATGAGCTAAGTGTGATCAAAGAAGGGGAATATTTTCTGGAGAAAATACAAGTAATATGTCTTTTACTGTAATAATTTTATTTGATTTAAACCTTCACTGTAGTTTTCAATCATACTTCTTACATTTCACAGTCCTTGGTTTGCTACCAGAGACAAATGAGCAGCTTAAAAATATTTCAATGGATGAAAAACTGCACAGAGTTGGAGGTGGAGGGATTTCAGTGACCAGGCATTTCTTGAAACAAGGGAGATTAGTGAGGTGTCTTGTACAGTGGGGCTGTCATCATGGTTCTTATGGGGAGGAGGATGTCATGGCAGACAGTTCCTCAGCTAAACACATGTTCTGAAAAGTGAGTTAACAACACATTTGCACCTTTTTTTATATGAGCAGTACATATGAAAATTATGAAAACTTGATTGCTATGAGTATAAGAACTGTTCAATAGTTAACAAAGAGGTTCTAAGTAGACACTATTAATCCATCATGCACTCATTATCTACTTTCAGGACTAACTTTACCTTTCTGAAAGATGCTATTTTTTAATTTTTATTTTAAAGAGAATAAAACAAAATGAAACGAAACAAAACAGAACAAAGCAGAGCAGGGTAAAACAATGCAAATACCACAGGATTTCAGAAAAAGATAGCAAGAAATCAACAGTGGTTACCATAATGTCTCTTGTTTTCTTCAAAATAGTCACCCATATCTTCACACACAGTAAGTTAATACAAATCAAAATAGCATAAAAGCAATCAAAACACAAGAATGAGAGCCTTAAGGGCTTTCAAGACCAGACACTAGGAAATCAGTAATGGCCACCATAATGTCTCTTGTTTTCTTCAAAATACCTGTCCATATCTTCATACATATTGGAATCAAATCATTGAAAACAGAGTAAAACCAATCAAAACCAAGAACAAAAGCATTATTGGCTTTCAAATCAAAAAGATAGGAAATCATCAATGGCTACCATTGTGTCTCATTTTCTTCTGTGTAGTTGTTCATACTATCACACATAATAAAATCAATTATAAAACTTTTCCTTTTTTGGTACTGGGCATCAAACTCACAATATCACTCTGGCCAAGCAGGCACTTATACCGCTGAACTAAATCCCCAAGCCCCTCCTTAAGATGCTTTAGAAGTAGCTCATTGAAAGAATTTCTCCCTCTCTATCTCTCTCTCTCTCTCACTCTCTCTCTCTCTCTCTCTCCCACCTCCACAACAAGAATTTCTTGTACATAGATTTAAAAGTGAAACACATTGTCAATTAAAATTCCACATTAGGAAATGTAATTTCAAACTTTTGGAACATGTGTCCCTATTTAATTAAAATTGTAGTACATTCAATAAATATTTTTCAGTCTTTGCCTTTTTTGACCTCCGGTCACTAACATGCTAAGCAATCATTCAACTTGAAATTCTTTTCCTGCCCTCCTTGACACTGCTCTTTCTTGGTTTTCCTTCTATTTCTGTGATCTCCTCCTTCCTAAACATCTATGAAAACAACCTTGTCTTTCTTAGAGCCAGGCCACAAACTCCTGCCCTTCTATTTTCACACAGAATTTCAAGATAATTTCAATCACTTCCTTGATCTAATTTACAATACACATAAAATCATTTTCCAAATAAGTATCTTTAGTTCAAATTTCTCTTTTAAATTCCACACATTTTTATCTAGCTGTTCCTTACACATTTCTGTGAACCATTCATAGAATTTCAAATTTATTATCTTTGGTCTGTATCTGAACTTATCAACCCAGCACAGCTTTAATACTATGTGCGTATGTGAGCTGAGATAGGATGTCACAGAAATTATAGTCTTCTGTTGTCAGATGCTTTTTCTTTCAAATCTCAAGTCAAGTAAAGAAGTTTTGGAAATGCCAAACCACATTTTAAAACATTACCTTAAATATTACATTCTTTAAAAAAAACAAGTACAAATAGTTCTGTTTAATATAAAATTAATTTAAGTGAAATATTGTTCTTAATCACTTTGACAAAAATAGGAAATATGAATTTCCTTGGTTGAAATTCTAATAAAACTTATCCTGAAGGATTCTTTTTAATTTCTTCTTTTCAATATAAACCATAAATATTAATATAATCCCGATTTCCTTTTTTTAAAAAAACCAAACAGAATATCAAGGGACACACGCAATATACTAAGAATCATTTGTGCTGGATTTGCCACTATCATTCTAGAACCTTAGAATCCAATCCTAGCTTCTTTTTGTCTCCATATGAGATCTTGAGGCAATTGTTAATCATCCCTACTTTCACCCTTGAGATGACTGAGCTTGGGTGATAAATTATATGGTCATGCGTATACCATGTAGTCAAATTGCTCAGAAATCCAGTACATAATCAAAATACCCTGAGAAGCTTTTTAAAGTTATTCTTTGCCCCCTTTTTAATTTTATTTAAGGAGAAAAAGAAAAAAAAAAACAAAAAAAGGGTACAAGTCATACAGAATTTCAAAAAAAATAAACAGTAGGAAATCGCTAGCTAATAGATTACATATTGTCATCTTAGAAATAATTGTTCAAGTTACAAAGTTAAAGCATATAAAGTGGACATTCAAACAGTGAGACTGCAAACAGTTCTGTTCAATGATCCAACAAAAACTCAGTAATATGGTTATCTATCTTATATGTTTAAATATACACACAGTTATATGCTTTAGAGCACTTTCTTTTCGTCTCTTTTTTACAATGACAATTACACATCTTGGTTTTATTACTCCCACAGTTCTTATTACTTTTTTTGAAGAGAATAAAACCAAATGTGACATAACAAAACAGAGTCAGTCAAATCAAAAGGATAGACATAGTACATAATGTAAAAACAGAATACAAGGTGATGAACAATGGTTACCATAATGCCTCTTGCTATCTTAAAAAGAATAGCCTATATCATCAGTTATAATAAAATTGAACAAAACAGTAAAGAACAAAACCAATAAAACCAAAACACTGGAGACATTACAGGACTTCAAAAGATAATAGTCAAACCAGAATGGGCATCATAGTGAATCTTATTGTCTTCACAGTTGTTGCCTATACTCTCAAACTTGGTACTATGGAGCAAAACAGAATAGAGTAAAAGCAGTCAAAACAAGATAGTGAGAGCAATACAGGGTTTCAAATCAGGTGAATAGGAAATCAAGGTGGGTTACTATAATATATCCTGCTATTTTTTATTTATTTTTTCCTTCATTAAAAAAATAAAAATAAAAAAATAATAAAAAAAGGAGATTGAGATAAAAGAGGACGAACAACAAAGCAGCACAGGTCAGAACATAACCATTTAAGCAAAATAGTGTTTCACCACAAGGTATCCCAACATAAAAGTAGTTACCATATTGTCCCTGTCCTTGAAATCTTTGAGTATAATTTTGTATACTGTAGCATCAAATATATCAAGCCAATGTAAAACCATTCAAGAGAATGACAGTATTACAGAGTATTTAGAACCAACTGACAGAAAATGAACAATGGTTTCTGTATTATCTCCTTGTCTATAAAAGTTTTTGTTTATGGGCTGGGTGTTTAGCTCAGCGGCATAAGCGCCTGCCTTGAAAGCAGGCAGTCATGAGTTCGATCCCCTGTACCAATAAAAAGGAAAAAGACAAAAAAAAAAAAAAAAAAGAAAAGAAAAAAAAAGTTTTTGTTTATATTATCATATATAATAAAATCCAATAAGATACCACATCTTAAGACTGATGGAGACAGGCACCGGCCCCCGCCCGGCCGCCCGCCCACGCCGGTCTGGAGCTGCGGGCGGCGCCCCACGCCTGCCGCTCGCGCGCGGGGTCCGGGCGATCGCCCCCAGCTGGCGGGGCGGGGCGGGGTGAGTGGGGGCGGGGCGGGGTGAGTGGGGGCGGGGCCCGGGAGGCAGGGAAGAGTTAAGTTTGGAAGGCTCTGCAGACACGTTGAGGGGGAGTTACCGAGCCCAGGCAGCAAAAACATCCCGGCGCATTCCTGGGGAGTCCTCAGCTGCCAGCATCTGATTAGAACCATATCTCTCGCCGGGAGTGGCCGCGCGGCTCGAGCTCCGGCCCGCGGCTATTTAAGCGGGGCCACCGCGGCGCTGCGCTGCAGCCCGGAGGCTCCGCGCGGGAAGTCATGCTCGCCTCGCACAGGCGCTAGGAGCTGGTGTGTGCCATAGGTTATGTTCATCTGAGACTCAGCCATCAGGGATCACGTGGTATCACTAAGTGTCTGCTGGGGCTGGGATTTGCTGCTTGCTCTCTTGCCATGTCCAACGAAGTAGAAACGAGCACGACCAACGGTCAGCCTGACCAACAGGCTGCACCAAAAGCACCATCAAAGAAGGAAAAGAAGAAAGGCACTGAAAAAACAGACGAGTATCTCTTGGCTAGGTTCAAAGGCGATGGTGTAAAATATAAGGCCAAGCTAATCGGAATTGATGACGTGCCAGATGCCCGAGGGGATAAGATGAGCCAAGATTCTATGATGAAACTCAAGGGCATGGCAGCAGCTGGTCGGTCTCAGGGACAACATAAACAAAGGATCTGGGTCAACATTTCCCTTTCTGGAATAAAAATAATCGATGAGAAAACTGGGGTAATAGAGCACGAACATCCAGTAAATAAGATCTCTTTCATTGCTCGTGATGTGACAGACAACCGGGCATTTGGTTACGTGTGTGGAGGAGAGGGGCAGCACCAGTTTTTTGCCATAAAAACTGGGCAACAGGCTGAGCCATTAGTCGTTGATCTTAAAGACCTTTTTCAAGTTATCTATAATGTAAAGAAAAAAGAAGAGGAAAAGAAAAAGGCTGAAGAAGCCAACAAAACAGTCGAGAATGGAAGCGAGGCTCTAATGACTCTAGAGGATCAAGATAACAAACTGAAATTGGGTGTTGACCAGATGGATTTGTTTGGGGACATGTCTACACCTCCTGACCTAAATAGTCCAACAGAAAGCAAAGATATCCTGTTAGTGGATCTAAACTCTGAAATCGACACCAATCAAAATTCTTTAAGAGAAAATCCGTTCCTAACAAATGGCATCACCTCCTGCTCTCTTCCACGACCAAAACCTCAGGCATCCTTCTTGCCTGAAAATGCCTTTTCTGCCAATCTCAACTTCTTCCCCACACCTAATCCTGATCCTTTCCGTGATGATCCTTTTGCACAGCCAGACCAATCGACACCCTCTTCGTTTGATTCTCTCAAACCTCCAGATCAGAAGAAAGAGAATTTGTGTAGTCTGTCTACTCCACTGAGTAATGGGCCCCAAAACGGTGATGTTGATTACTTTGGCCAGCAATTTGACCAGATCTCTAACCGGACTGGCAAACAGGAAGCTCAGGCAGGCCCGTGGCCCTTTTCAAGTACGCAAAGCCAGCCAGCAGTGAGAACTCAAAATGGGGTGTCTGAAAGAGAACAGGACGGCTTCCATATCAAATCTTCCCCAAACCCTTTTGTGGGAAGCTCTCCCACAGGACTCTCTGTACCGAATGGCATAAAGCAGGACTTGGAAAGCTCTGTCCAGTCCTCACCACATGACTCTATAGCTATTATCCCACCTCCACAAAGTACCAAACCGGGAAGAGGCAGAAGGACTGCTAAGTCTCCAGCAAATGACCTGCTTGCATCGGACATCTTTGCTCCTCCCGTCTCAGAACCTCCAGGCCAGACATCACCCACAGGACAGTCTGCAGCCCCCCAGAGCAACCCCTTGGATCTCTTCAAAACAAATGTTCCTGCCCCGGTGGCACCTCTTGCGAGTCTAGGTAGTGTCCCAGTGTCCCCTCCGCAAGCAGGACCGTGGAGCCCACCCATTGTCTTTAATCAGTCCACTCCCATGGTCCCGGGAGCCATGCTGGGTAGCCAGCCTGCAGCTTTCAGCCAGCCGGTTGTTTTTGGTGCTAGCCCAGCTGTTCAGTGTTGGAACCAGCCTTCGTCCTTTGTAACCTCCACCTCGCCCTCACCCCCTGCAGCTTGGGGTTCCTCTGTATCTGTGGCACCCAATTGTTGGCCCACAGCAAGCTCCTTGGGGAACCCTTTCCAGAGCAATGTTTTTCCTCCACCACCTGCTCTGTCCTCTTCCATGCTGCCCTCGCTCGTGGTCAGCCCTCCTCAGCCACCTCCCAGAACTGCTCCAAAGGACATCCCCAGTGATGCCTTCACTGCCTTAGACCCGCTTGGGGATACAGAAGTCAAAGAAGTGAAAGAAATGTTTAAGGACTTCCAACTGCGGCAGCCACCTGCCCTGCCCTCCAGGAAGGGAGAGCAGCCTTCTTCTGGCACTTCCAGTGCCTTCTCCAGTTATTTCAACAGCAAAGTCGGCATTCCCCAGGAGAGTGTGGACCATGATGATTTTGATGCTAATCAACTGTTGAACAAGATCAGTGAACCACCAAAGCCAGCTCCCAGACAAGGTGCCCTGTCAGTTACCAAATCTACCAACAGAGCATTTGAGAATCCTTTCTCTAAAGATTCCTTCAGCTCACCACAACCCTCTACGGCTTCTCCTCAACCTGCATCTTCTGATGTATATAGGGACGCTTTTGGAAATCCTTTTGCCTAACTCTGAACTTGGGATGCTGACTATCCAGAGGAAGGAGAAGATTGGCTTTAGTAGTCAAGGACAAAGCTAATAGGCAGACACGTGCTGTCCACTGTCCTTGTTCAGCTTTAATGAGTTATCTGTTGCCTTATTTCTTATTGCCTCTTCCACTTGTAAAATTCCTTTCACTTTCTGCCTAGGCTAAAAGCTAAGCTGAATCTATGGCTTTAAGTAAATGAAGATCCTAAACTCTTTAGCACAAATGTAAATGAAGTAGCCTTCCACCACGTTCTTATACCTGTGAAGTTCCTGCACCCTCAGAGACAACATCACATCTTCCGCTGTCTGGTTGGGCCAGGCAGACACTGCCGCCCATTACTGTTTTGAGTAAATAGCCAGCTCCTTGCTTAATGTGAGCATTCTGTTTCCTAAAATTCCGGTAGAACAATACCTTTCTTAAAAGAACTTCCTTCCAGCCATCACTTACAGAAAATGTTTTGAATAAAATGAAAGTCCAGAGTCTCCTCAGATACTCTGAAATCTAATTCACCTGAGGACCTTTTTTAAAAGATAGTTTCTCTTCTTTCTGAAGACCAACTTCTCTCACAGCCAAGACTGTCCTTTTGGTAACTCTCTAGCTCTTGCAAATAAGGGGAAAAACATTCATCTCTTTACCTTTCTCCTCTGATTCTTTTTTCAGTCTCTTCCTGGTTCAAGTACCCCTCCCCCTCCCAGGCTATTTCATTCATTTGTTTGTTTGTTTGTTTGCTTCTTGTTGTTGGTTTTACAAACCATAGATTTTCATGGGGTTAAAACAATATCAAATGATTCACAGATCTGGAATCAAATGGTTCACATACCTGGAACCTGTCTTTCTCCTGAGTAATGCTAGTCCCAGTAACTACATGTGTATACCCTATAACCTTCCCTGGACCGGGGGACCATCCTCAGGCTGAAGTTCATAACAGCAGTGAATGTGAAAGAAAATTTGAGCTCCACTCAACACTGAAGGACCGTGCTCTACAGAGCAGCACATGTGACTGTGCCCAACACCCTGGTGCTTATTGGTGGGGGAAGTCATGCCGGACCTTCATCAAGTAACTGGAAAACTTTCCTGAGGCCATGCTTTCATAGTTAGCAGGAAGATATATGGGAGGGGAGAAGGTGACAAACAAATATTTGGGGTTATCATCAAAAATCTAATGCCTGCAATATTTTTCTCCCATAACCTTGGAAACTTTCCCAGTTCATTTTCAGTCCTATTGTTAGCATAGTTCTGAGGGATTTGTTCTTGCCAAAATGAGTTTTGTGTGGGGTTTTTAAAATGTTGTCTCTTGACCCTTAATGCTCAGGTTCTTGTGGGTGTTAATCAACCACATCCAATGTTACCTTTTTTGGGGAGAAAGAGGATGACCACTCAGGATTTAAACAAGGTGGCCTTGGGAGCCTGTATAGATTAGCTCCAAGTAATCCAAGCTGAAGTCCTGTGGTTTTGCATTTAATGGTAATAGTTGATTATACGTGGCATAATTTTTCTGTCTGGCTTCCTACTCAGTCATAAACAGAGACTTGAAATAGTACTTTAAAGGTCCAAAAACCTAAAAGTACTAAACTGGAGGTATCTATTTCTAGGTAGTTGACTTTTTGAAAGAGATGATCAGCCATGCAACTGTTTTGTACATACTGAATTTCTCTTTTACTTTTCTGTATGCAAATTAAAGCTATAAATTTACTCATTTCAATAAACTGGAATGGCAAAAAAAAAAAAAAAAAAAAAAAAAAAAAAAAAAAAAGACTGATGGAGACAGAAGAACAAAAGCTTGATGGGACGTCAAAACAAGAGGATATTAAATTAGCACTAGCTATTATGTCTTGTTTTCTCTAAAATAGCTGTTCCTACCGTCCAACCTTCTCTGCCTCATTTCTGTTGAGCTCTTTTTCTGTCATTAGTTGTCAGTTTGCCTTCTTCATTTCACTTTCTACTCCATTCATTGTGGCCTGTCTGTCACTGTTTCTGGAATCTTGGTATTTTTCTCTTTTAGAATGTCCTGCCATACTCTCTGTAGAGTTGAACTGGTGGTTGCAAATTCCCCTAGTTCCTCTTTATCCTGGAAGCACCTTGTTTCTCCATTAATTTCTAGGCACAGTTGTGCAGGATATATCAATCTTGGCTGGAGGTTATTGTCTTTCAAAGCTTGAATTATTTTGCCCCAAGCTCTTCGTGATTTGATGGTTTGTGCCAAGAAGTCTGCCATAATTCTGATGGGTGTTCCCTTGTAAGTGATCTGTTTCTTGTCTCTGACAGCTTTTAATATTCTGTTCTTATATTGGATTTCTGGAATTTTGATTATTATATGCCTGGGTGTAGTTATGTTTGGGTTGTAGGTGGCTGGGGTCCTGTATGCCTCATAGATCTGAGTATCTTTACCTTTACCCATATTAGAGAAGTTCTCCTTGATTATTTCTGTGACTAGCCTTTGCAGTTCATTTGTTTGCACCCCTGCTTCTTCCTTTACATTCTTAATTCTTAAGTTGTAGATCCTCTTATCATCTTCTAGCCTTATGTATTGCTACTGCTTGCTTCCTTGTTATTTTTTAAGAAGTTTTTCCTTTCATGCTCCCACATTACAAAACTGTCCTCCAGTTCAGATAATCTGTCCTTAGTTTCTTTCAAGCTGTTATGCCAGCTTTCAATAGAGTTTTTAGTTTCCTGGTAATCTCTTTGAATGTGCTTCATGTATTCTATGTTTTCTCTATTTTCTCCATCAAACAATTCTCCCTTTTTTTCTTCTGTTCTTCCATTCCACCATCTGTTTCTTCTTGGGAGGTGCTTAGCATTTCTTTAACTATTCTACTTATATCTTGCTTTACTTGGTTAAATACTTCACTTTTGAACTCATCTATGAGGTTCCAGAGATATCGCTTTATGTCTATTGGTGCCATGCCTGATATCACATGTTTTTTGTCCTCATTCTCCTTTGCATTTACCTTTCCTGGATCAGTGTTCTCAGGATTAGGGACTGAGGATCCTTTCTTGTTGCTCCCTCTTGCCATACTTTTTGTTCCTTCCATACAAGCATATATAGGACGCCCAGTTTCTTTCTTTGTCGGTTACAGCTTGTTTGAATCATGCTGGTTAGGTGTTCCCACCCACTGCAGTGTACTAGGGAGATACAGACCTGGGCAGCCTATGCTGGGCCTGCCCCTCCAGGTCAGTCAACCTGCTGAAGGCTTTCTGCATTAGGGTACACTTACAGGTGCAGGGACCTGGTTTGGACTAGCCTACTGGGTTTAGTCTGCAGCGTCACCCAGGTCAAGTGCTCCCACCAATCCTACTTGAGAGAGGAATATGTGACTGAAGTCACTGCAGCGTCCTGTTCCGGCTAGTCTGCATGGTCCCAGAATGACCTCTGTTGGAGCCTCCTTATCTATGGAAAGGTCCCCATTCCTCTCACTCACCACAGGTGGATGCAGGGCTCCCTGCCAGCTCTGCTCTCAATTCGGTTTGCCGATTCCCATTCTCAGAGCTTTTTCATCTCTATCCCTGATGTGCGGATTCAGATGCAGCTGCGGTGGCAGGAAATTCAAGCCACAGTTTCCAGAGGTGTGGGTTCCAGCTTTGGCACTGAGACTTTAGCTGTTCTAGTCATAGCACCGGGATTGCATTTCCATTTGGTTTCTCTCAGCTTAGTTCATTCCTGGGTTGGCAGAGTATATCTCCCCCTGCTTAGGACTCCCCACACCACACCATTCTAAGTTGGCTATCTCAGAGAGCCTCCATAGCTGCTGTTATTTATCTGCCATGTTCTCCCAGAAGTCTCAATTCTTTGCCCTCCTTTTATACATCAAAATGTTTGTGACTCGGAAGTCTGGGTCTTATGACGCTTTTTGAAGCCATTCAGATAGTCTGCCAGTAGAAGAATGTCCTGCTCTACTTAGTCTCTTCCTTCTCTCTTCTCTCCCAAGGCAAAAACTTTTCTCAGAGAAAGCTGAGAGAAATCCAAGTATATTGGTATAATTATGGTGGTCCACTTCCTGAGATATGAAGGAGCCAGAGAAAATAACTTGGAAAGAAAAATATTATTCATTAAAGCATAAGCCTTGAGACACAGCCTCCAGTAGCCAATAAAGAAGACTGCACACCTAACAGGTAAAGGGCAGGGTTTTTGTGAAACCGCAAACAGCTGCTGGTCTCACAATGCAGGGACGGTGGGGGTTTGCGGTGCACTACAGAACAGGAACATGGCAGTTACATTTCTTGGAAAGAGCAAGGTTCAGCTGGGCTAACAAGCAAGTTTAGATTAGGCAAACATCCTCTGGGGAAGGCACATCTTGTTAACAAGCAAGTTATCCTGCAAACAAGCAAGTTTAGATTAGGAAGACCCCTGTTCTGCTCTTAGAGTTACCTCTGATCTTTCTCTTGCCTCCAAGGAGACTTATGAGGGTTTTTTTATATAGGTTACAACAATAATGTTTCTTTATTTAAATTTTTTTGGAAAAATATTGATATGATTTTCTAAGAATGCAGATGTGACATCAAGCTAGTCTTTATAGATAGATTACTCAGGAGGATTTCTACATTCTAATGATGAAAAAGCTAAAATTTATTGAGACTTTGCTATATGCCAGGCACTGCACATAAATCTGATTTGTATTTGTATTGTTTTACTTAATACATCTTTTAAATTTCTTAAAAGAGGATAACCAGCGCTCCTGAGATCCAGCCATGGTGGGACTTGGGCAGCTTATTCTTCCACCCTCTTGGTAAGTGCCCCTGGTGTGGGCCAGGAGGAGAAACAGCAGCTCCTGTGAACCTGCTGGCACACGGGCTGAGAATCAAACACCACCACCACCACCCCCATAGCAACTGGGGATGGATGTCTCAGCATCTCTTGGGAAGATGACTATATGCAATATAGCAAATATGGGGATTTCCTTCTGTCTTTTGTTTGAAGGCAAAACTTGTTTTCACTGTTTTGTTTTGTTATGTTTGTTTTGCTCTATTCAATACTCTCTTTCAATTGGTTTTATAATGTTCTGTTTTTGTTTTGATTTTGCTATACCTAATTGCCTAGACAGCTATTGTGAAGATAACAGGATATACTATAGCACCTACTGCTACTATCCCAGTATCCTGCTGTGAAGTTCTGTAACAATTTTACTGCATTATCTCAATTGGCTTTGTTCTGCCTTGTTCTGTTGTATTTTTACTTCCTTCAAAATAAAATTTTTTTTTAAGTTTAAAAAAATTCTTAAAAGAGGACAAGAAACTAGAAAGTAGTCTTCTAGTGACAGAGAAGGAGACTGAGGGCAAGACAATGAAAGAAGGAAGGAGATACCATGAATAAAAATAAAATATGTACACACATACCAATGATACCAGCATGAGTCTCATTATTCTGTACTACTCATATACACCAATAAAAAGAAAGAACAACACTTAAGGCTTCAAGAAGGAAGATACATAGATAAAAAAATAAGTGTATAGAAAGATATTCACCATCATTTGCCATAAAGAAATGACAAATGAGACAGAATTGCACATCTAAAGAAACAGCTAAAATGCAAAGTACTAACAGCACCAATTCCTGGCCCAAATGTGGAGAAACAGAAATTCTCATTTCCTGCTGGTGAGAAAGCAAAATTTTATAGGCATGGTTGAAAATAATTTAACAGCTTCTTATAAATTTATCTATTTGTAACATAAGATCTAGCAGTTACATGTCTTAATATTTACCCAAATGAATAGAAAACTATATCCATGATAGCTTAATTCTTAATCGGAAAAACTTATAACTAAGCAAGAGTCATCTAGTAAGAAATAGATGAACTGTGGTAGACCTGGGCAATACAATATTATTCAACAGTAAAAAAGAAATCTATCAAGTCATGAGAAGACACTGGAGAAACTTAAACACATATTGATAAGTGAAAGAAGTCATTCTGTAAACATTACATAATATAATCCAACTATATGGCATTCTGGGAAAGACAAAATGATTGTCAATAAAACAAATGAGTGACTGTCACAGTTTGAGACATGGGAAGAAAGGATGAACAGATAAAACATGGAACATTATTATATCGATGAAATTATTCTGCATTGGTACTTTAATGGCAGTTACTTATTAGTATACATTTATCAAAACTTATAGAATGTTATTTGTCTATGGTCAAATTATTGGTAAATGGACATTTGAATCCCTGCAATCTTACCTAAGTCCACGAATTTCACCTACAATTTTCTAACTTACACAGCCATTAAAAGTTGATTTAAAAAATCTCAATTTTGGAAAAAAT